GGAAAACTGAAAGTTAAGGTGTCACTAGAAAATTTCTGTAAATAATTCAATATGACAACACTGATACTAAAATTTACTTTCTTTGGGTCAAATAGAAATTTTAGCAACTTTGGCATATTGAGTATTGAATTTACAGAATTATTTACAGAAATTTTATAAGGTCAAATACAACTCGATTAACTTTTTAAATTTCTGTAAATAAGAAATTTTCTTTGGGTCAAATCGAACCAACTTTGGCGAGTATTATAAAAACGTGAGAGAACCGACACATTTGGATTGCATAACTTAGCTTAGGCTTGACTTTGGGGTCATTCTCAGTAAAATCATTGCTGTTACAACTTAAGTAAATACTGGCACGACTAGAATAACATCAACATGACCTTATAAAATTTGAGTCTAAACACTAAAGCACAGAAAAATCAAGGGCATGAATTGATTAAAGTTCCTTCTGCAAGGAAAAAAATGCAAGATGTATTGGCAAGAATTGATTTCAACTAGGGATGGCAGTGGGTCGGGCGGGGATGGAGGGAGGTTTGGCGGGTGATGGGTGTGTACCCGCCATGGGTGATGGGGCGGGTATGGATTTTAGAGTAGACCCGCCCCATACCCACCTTATACCCGCACCATATTTCTTTTAGATGAGTTGAGAATTTATGAAACTTGATACCCCTTGAGACCCAATAAGCTTGAATAGTGAAAGTCCCAATTTTCTTAACCTAATTTGATATAATCGTCATTAATGTGATACAATAGATCATCATGGCAAAGGGTTTGGGACAATTTTGGGGCGTTTATGAGGTGGGTATAAATATCCAAGTGGGTGATGGGGCGGGGATGAATCCTATCTTGTACCCGGTGGGGCGGGTATGGATGTGGATATTGTACCCGCCATGGGTGGTGGGGCGGGGATGGGTATAAGATTTTTAGGCGGGTATGGGTATGGAGGTACCATCATCCGCATCCGACCTGCCCCATTGCCATCCCTAATTTCAACTCTATATACTATTCGATAGAATTTTGCTTAACTTTAATTTCTTCTTAGATACACTACTAGAAAAACAAAACGAAATATAAAACCTATAAAGTTTGCCTAAACAAGATCACATACTAATTAAACAAGATCCACTATTCTCATTGGTAGCCATCAACTTTTGCTTATTTCCATTGGTAGCCACTTTATACACAAAGTATGAATTATTCTTGGTATCCTTCAACTTTTAAAATGTTACTTTCGTAACCTTATTTAATAAAAAAAACGTTAAAATAAACATTAACTTTATTAGAGTTATTTTAATTGTTAATTAATCTTTTAAAATTCATAATTAAAAAAAATCCACTCCATAGTCGTACTATTCCTCTCTCTCCTCCCTTTGCTAATTAATATTTTTTCTCTCTTAGAAATCTCCCCCAAACTGTTTGATGAATGGTAGATCTAAGCCTCCTCCCTGAAGCTTACTCTGACTCTTTGAGTTCTCCATCAAAGTTGTTAGGGTAGGTGAGTGTACAACAAAAGCAAATAAAAGATGTAGAGATTGATAAATAATTAGGAGAAAATATAAAGGCAAGATAAGTAATAGAATAGGAGAGTAAAAGAACCATTGAAAGGGTGAGAATTACAAGAGAACTCTCACTATAAGAACTCTCAAAGGAGTAGCATAAAATAGGAATATTGGATTAGGGGGATTGTGTGTATGTAGAAACTCCGATCATGATATGTATGGAAGGACACTCATAGAGTGTATGAGGGTATGGAGGATGATGTAGGTGGATCCATTGCTTCCAAATGATGCACAACTTCTTATATTTATAGGTGATGTAAGGAGGTAGAAGAAGTGTGTGGAATCTTCTACACACGTGCTCTTCAAATCACTACATAAATCGAGTCTTCAAGACCTTCAACACTTCTAGATTCTTCCACCATTCCCCACCAATTTCTAAATATACTAGAGTTTCTAGAAACCTTGAGAAAGATTGAGATGTAATAAGTTGGACTTATGGAATTTAGGCCACACTAACCCAGCCGAAGCAGCTTTTGAGCTTTCTCTCTTCCATTGAAATAGTTTGTGAGGTAAGTGTAGGGAATTAAAGGTACTACGCAGCGGAAATAAACATGAATCATATTCATATAGCACCTAACCAAGGATCTCATGCATAACACATAAAGAGTAAGAATTATACCTTTGAAGCATGATTCCACTAGTAATCGAGCAAGAACAAGGGAGACAAAGAACCTCAAACGTGATTCCTCTACTTGGTCCACAGGCACGGATTAAGACCTCCACTAATGCTACATAGTCGCGGTCGAACTCTTCAATCGACTTTCTACAGAGAAGTATGAACAACGAACTAGTCACGAACCACCATGAACCACCACGAGCACCACCAGGGGTGGCCGGCTGCAAGTCCAATGGGGGAGGAGAGGGGTGCCGTGAGAGAGAGAGAGGGTAGTTAGGTTTTTTGGGATTTGGTTGCCTTGATTCACAATTCAATGTAAGTTAATTGTGACTTCTGTATTCAACCCTAGGCATGGATCTTATTTATAGATCACATCTCTAAATAAGAGTCCATGACCAAGCCCAATTCCTAATCCCAATCAAACTACACTAGCCCAATCCTATTCATGATTAGTTAAATGCTCATAAGGCCCATTAATGGGCCTCTTACTTGCTTAACCCAATACCTTTGTGTGTGACCTCAAAGATCCATTCTAGCGGGCTTTGGACTATTTTACTAGCCCAAAGATCATCTCTCATAGTCTAGCAACAGATGATGACGCATTGACGCCCCAAGAGAATGAACTTATTATCTCCATAACAGTGATCCTTGATATATCTAGTAATTGCACCTATCGAAGAAATAACTCCTTCAGTAAGATGGTTTTTGTATTCATCGAATATCAATTTCCCTTTGAAGCGTAACCATGTTGTCCATGGTGGTTCGATTTTGGTGAGGAGATGGTGGTATATTTGATTCGATTGCTGGGTGGGGATTGATTGGGCTAAAATTGGAGCTTGCGGCGTTGCTCGATAGTGCGGTGGTGTGGTGCTGCTGGCTGCGGGTTAGTGCGACGGTGGTTGGTTATTTGGCAGCTACTATGTGGCGGTTGTATGGGGAGCTGCCCGATTGCTAACTGGTGTTGCGGGGTTGGCGTGTGAGGGAGTAGGGGAGGCAGTAGGAGTAGTAGTGTGGAGGGACGGCTGGGGCTGGGGTGTTGGGAATTGGGCGCCGGTGGGAAAGGATGGGTCGGTGGCGGCAGCAGAGGTGGAGAGGGGAAGGGGTGGCTGGTTGGTTGGGGGAGGTTTTTTTTTTTTTTTTTTTTAAATTAAGCATATATAATATAGATAACCTTAGTTTAATATTTTTTTAATTTTTATAAAACAAACTTCCATCAAACTTAACAACCAGTTAACAATTATTAACCAAATAAGGTTACAGAAGTAACATTTTAAAAGTTGAAGGCTGATAATTCATATGCAATGTGGCACCAATGGAAATAAGCAAAAGTTAATGGCTACTAATGACAATTTCCCTATAAAATTTGATTCTAAACTCTAAAAGCACGTAAAAAATTAAGGCAGGAAATGATTAAAGTTCGTTCTGCAAGGAAAAAAAAAATGCAAGATGTATAGGCAAGCATTGATTTCAACTTTGTATATTATACGGTAGAGTTTTGCTTAACTTCAATTTCTTCTTAGATCCACTACTAAAAAAAAGAATATATCATTAGACCATATACAAAGCAGGAAGAGCATATCAATATTCAGATTCTCCCAAATGAAAGGTCACCACTAAAGTGTTGTATTGCTCAATAGCCAGTTTCATTGACATAATATGCAACTGTTACAATTTAATTACAAGTACCTACTCATAACAAAAACTAAAACAGTGAAAACTCTCAAATTTACTCAATCATAGAACGGTAAAAAAATAAACTATACACATGGGAGCAATGTCAATAGCTAAAAAACAAAAATAATGGGGGGTGAAAACTGATGAAAAGTTACAGAACACTGAAAAATAATGGGCGAACAACAAGAACATGTGATTTCACTCTAAGACAAGTTGGGAAGAGAAACTAATTACTATATAATTTATCTAATAGAAGAGTTTGTACATGTAAATTAGAGTAACTCATTGTTTGGCTGGCATCTTATGAGTAACTTTCTATATGTAGAATATCCAAGGAAGGTATAATTTTGACCTTATGGAGTTATGGTCCATGGTTACAGACTTACAGCGATTCCTTGGCCATTTTCATAATTTTTTTTATAGGTATACATTTAATGAATGTAATCGTGTTGTTGATTAGATAGCAGATGTAGCTCATTTTTAATGAAAAAAAATTCTACTTGTTGTCAACCTGTATTCAATGAAGGCTTACTTTTTGAAACTTTTTTCCACGGTAGAGAAAGACGGACAATGTGTAATTAAAGATGACATTGTGTCGTGCTAGCTTGTGGGCAGAACATGGTCAAACATGAAAAAGCAAGCCACGACATGAATGTGGGGTAGACATGGCACAACATATTATCGTGTTTGCAACTTATCTAAGGCATACAAGCAAAACACAATGGTACATGTCTACGTGAGCTTGAACTATACTCGGTTTGTAATTTTAAAATTTTCACTATGACACATAGCAATTGTACTCAAGTATGGGCTAGGCACAAGACACGCAAAGATATAGCCTGACACGACCAACAACCATCTTCATGTACGGAGTATGAGCGTAACATGAACATTAAAGATTATCATCCACTAGCTTATAAAGAAGAGAATGCAATCTTTAGAAGTAACCAAACTAGAATTGCCTCTCAAATTTCAAGGCATACAACTATACAAGGCTTTTATGAATTTTCCTAGTGAATGAATGGAACAACTCCTATGTAATCGTACTACTAGTGCTCAACAGAGCAACTTGGGAGTGACCTACATACATTTATTTAGCAGTCTTTTAACATCCAAAAATCATAATGTGGGACACGCAAACAATACATGAAAGACAAACAAAAACCCAAAAATAATTACATTATTTTGAACAAAAAGAGATCCTAAGCTAGCAAGTAGCAAGCAACAAAGTTAACAAACATTGTCCTTAAAACTTTCATTTGGGAATCTTATATTATTTCAGTCTTAATCTTAACGTTAGCTCTTCTTCCCTTTATTACTCTCACCACAACACAAAGTCCATTTTACAACTTTTGCCAATAATAACATGTCAAGAAGTGTACATAGGTGGATAAACGTGGTGGGACGATGGGAGGAGGGCAGCAATGATCTGCCACCTCTAGTAGTCCCGCCACCACCACAAGTAGGAGTCGACACGGGGCGGTATAACCATCGCTCGATTGAGACTCTGGTTGTGGTGCTAGCAGTGATAACTATTGCTGCAGTCATTGCCGGTATCATTGCTAGAGTGTGCGGAGGTAGACATCTTGGAGGAAATGGTGAGCATGATATTGAAGGGTGGGTAGAAAGGAAGTGTAGGAGTTGTATTGATGGTGGCCTTCCTCCTCCTCCTCCTCCTCCTCCTCCTCCTCCGCCTCCGCCTCCGCCAGCAGCTCCTGCAGCAACAGAAGTAGCTGCAGCAGCAGAGGAATCAAAACCAGCAGCCACAGAGGAAGAAAAGAAGTAGCGCCGAATATCATCAAAAAGTTTAAACCAATGCTCATGTATCTTGTTATTCTTGTAAGTGAGTTCATATATTTATTTTCTTTTTTTGGGTTCAGATCATGAAATGTAGGCTTTTTAACCTGAAATTTAAGTAGGTGTTATCAGAACATAAGTACTTATATAACTACTGAGAGAAAGAAAGGATTTTTACTAGAAAATTTTCAAGATTAGTAGCAGAAATTAAGGTTAGAGTTAGGAAAAGCTGAACAATGTTCTGTGAAATACAACTTTATTATGTCATTGGAATACAGATTATGATTAATTTGTCCTACAAACAAGTTTCTAACCCCTGTTTCTTATTGTTAAGCCGAGTTTTGCCTAATTTATAACTGTAATTTGTTAAATATGTGTATTACAACGGTGTTTTTGTTTATCATGTGGACTAACAGGGAACATTTTCGGTCTATTCGGGGTTGCCAATTGCTACAACCCCGCATTTGCATATCGTGATTGTGATTGTAAACTCGGACTTGCTCCTAATAAGCTAGCCCTTGAGGACCCTTATAAGCAGAAATTGTTATAAACACCCGGGTGCACAGTGCACCCAAGGGTATTGTTTGCTCATTTCGATGATTATTGCTTATTTTATCATCCAAAGAGCAAACAAATACCCTTGGGTACACCGTACAACCAGGTGTATATAACACTCTCTTTATAAGAAAACTTCTACCAACAATTGAAAATTGCATAATGTAGTGAGCACCCATTGAAATTTCCCTTCCTCAAAAAAGCTTTGTATTTCTAATTTTTACTAAATATGGTTCCATATTATCCTTGTTTATTGACAACTAAATGGGATAACATGATTTCTGACAAGAAATACAAGTAATTTTGGTAAAAAATATATATAAGTATATCAAAGTTTACAGAACTTTCTCTCAAAAAAAGTTTACAGAACTGACCTGTTTTCCATTTTGTACAATATTTTCATTAATGCATATTATCAATTATATCAGAAATCAGATGTTTTTCATTTACTGCATGCTCATAAAAACTTCACCAATCTAACATTTATGTAACGTCTCTCAAGTCTCAACTGTCGTGTTAAAACTAGCTAACAGCCCACATATTATATCGAATTACACTTACGAAGTAATTTCAAGTCGGGTTAAATTTTGTCAGGTCTATATGATTAAATCGAAGCACCAAGATCAGTAATTCACTGTTGTAAAATCCCTCATGTAAAAAATACAGTAATATAGTAGAAGAGGTGTGAATGGAATGACAGAACTACAAGCAAGCTTTCTGTTGAAAATGCAAAGAGTTGAAAAAATTGACCAAAATGCAGCTGCTTTAATAAAGCTAATGTGTTGAACTACTCATGTGTTAACTGAAATTTAATTTATTAATGCAATTAACAGACTTAAAATGTGACCGTTGCGGGTCCCAAATTCCTTTTTACAACGAAAGATGAAGCATGAAAAAGGGGAGACTGAATGATCTTTAGGCTAACAGTTCTCCCGTAATATTTGAGTATTTGTCTTCTAATATAGCACCTTTTTCCTAAATCACTTTTCCAAGATTTTTGATTTATGTAATTTTCAAGTAAGGCATAATGATTCATTCATTCATCCCATCGGACGTTTATACAAGGACATTAGTCATAAACTTAAAATGATTGATCTTTCTTAATAACTTGATATCCATAGACCAAGGTATGATTTGATTCAAATTAACCAAAGCCACATTGAAACTAACCTAATGGCTCATCACCTAGTTATAACCCAAACCAAATTATTCGGATCTTAGTGGTCGGCTTGTGACCTCAATCGACTTTAACACAACCAAATATTTACCGTGGAAAAGCTGCAACATATCACTATCAGACCGTTTTTCCCAAAGCCTTAGGAAGGGATAACATATGCAGTGTCAACTAATTAAGTTGGTTAAAGTTTTTAGGATGGTACCAAAGACTAAGGGTCTATTCACTTCAGCTTAATTTCAGTTTAGTTCTCTTCAGCTCCTAATTTTTTTCTCTCATAAAATATTTATTTCAGCTCAGCTCAGTAAATGTGAATAGACCCTAAAATCAAATTGTGTCTACATCACCACCTTCTGTAGCCTAACTAGACCAATAAAAATGAAATGGCTAATTTGGTATGGCTAGAAAATGCACCCATGTATCATGTATTCATGTACGTAATGTTTATTCCAAATTCTTAAAAGTACCATTGCTAGGAAACAAAGAATCAAAAATAGTTGGAGAAGAATAAAGGATACGGTGAAAACTATTTACGTATCAACCACCATTTGTGGAAAGACTAACAAATTAACAACTTCGTACAATCATCCGGTATTACAAAGATCTTCAAAGAAATTGCTTATCGAATTTCACTATGACAAAACAAATCAAAAAATTTTAACTTAATGACCTAGCTTCCAGTGGCCAATCTGATCCAAATACAAGAGATTCTTGAAAGAGACAGCTAACTTTCTAAATAATACACTTAACTGCTTGGTAACAAAAAGGAGGGAGAAAAAGAGGAAAAAAGTAGGACATATAAAACAATTGCAATTGGCTATAGTATATGTGCTCACTGTTTATACATATTATAGACGATAACTTCAGGCCAAGAGATGATAAGTTATGATCCAATACCTTCAAATATTGCTGGAATGAAGTATGGGATAAATCCGAGGAAGTTGTGAAGCTTTCTCCTTATCGAGCCATACTAGCAATTAATTCCACATATCTGAATGTCAGGACCAGTCACCCGGGTTGTAAATGGATCAACTCTAACCCATAACAAGGAGAAGATGGATGCAAGTAGAATCGACCAGACAACAACAATTGTTGGAGTTCTGTTCTGGCGACCCATGAGACCCTTGAGGAAAGGATAAAGATGGACAATCACCCAAAATGCGAAGAAAAGCTTGCCAAAAAGTGGTCCCCATGATTGGTAGCCACTGTTGATGGCATAGGATATTCCAGCAACCACTGCGACGAGGTTTATTATGAGAAGAGTGGTTGGTGGGATAAGCAAAGTTGTCCATTTGAACAAGTAGAGTTCAGCGAAATCCCCGTCCTCATCTGATGCCTTGGAAGTGACAGTAAAATTGGTATCAATACCAGCGAGAACTTTGAGTATACCTTGGAAAACGGCAAACAGATGGGCTGAAACTCCTCCAATAACCCAAAACTGCTCATTCCTCCACCATTCATCAATTCCCACACCACTCCATCTCATTTCCAGTATACCAGTAGCAAAGATGGAAAGAAAGAGTGACAAAAACCAAACACTAGCCAAGTTACTAATCTGCAATTCGAAGAGGATGAAAGATGTCAAAAATGATGATTAGGTGGATGCACAATCATCAAATACAGAAAATTACACAAAGTATGAGAGTTGAGAGGGTGGAAGTATTGCACAAATCAAATTGTAGTTACCTGAGGGATAATGAACTTCCCAGTAAGCAGACAGACAGCTGGTAAGGTACAATATGCAAGAAGTGGAATGGATGTGATTGGGTAAATTGTGGTGTTGACATAAGCAAATCTCTCAAGCCATTTCAACCGTCCATTGTAACCATACCATAAAGGACAATGACGGCTGAAGAGAATCTCAACTGAACCTAAAGCCCACCTAAGCACTTGATTTAGACGATCGGAAAGATTGATAGGAGCAGATCCCTTAAAAGCTGCACGCTTAGGCATACAATAAATTGAACGCCATCCTCTAGCATGCATCTTAAATCCTGTCAGAATATCTTCTGTCACGGAACCATAAATCCAACCAATCTGCACAAATGTAGCATCAATCATAAGTTTGTCTGGCGTTGCACGATCAGCGGGAATTATGATGAAAACAGTCACATAAGATATCTTTCAATATATTCAACGTTAACTGGTTAACAGAGAATCCAGAGTCGATTTCACGTCCATATTAATAGTGTTTTAACTCAATGAAGGTATGACAGTTCAGTTGTATTTTTAATTGCTAGCTAATGATAATATCATGTAATACTAAACTGCACTGGTGAGACTCGATGAGCAAGAGGTTTATAGCTCAATCAAAAAAACAGATACTAAAGCCGAAAACAGAATAGTGAAGTCATGATGATAAAGAAAACATACTTCAGCTCCCCAGTCAGTCTTGTCCTCATAGCCACAACTGATAACATGAATAGCTTCTTTTAGAAGAGTGTCAGGGTTTGCAGACTGTGGAACACCACCATTTTCCATGAGCGTAGAAGCCACAAATACTTCTGATTGACCAAACCTTTTCTCCAAGCTCATTTGTGACATAAGTAGTGACTTCTCATCATCAAATCCAGCTCCTAAACACAAAAAGAAATTCATCAGTTTTCTACACGTGTAAGGGTCTTAGTGAGGTTATAAAAGTTACTCTACAAAAGAATGCTAGTAATACAAGGAGGTCATTGCCTAAGCATCTCACTAATATGTCACCAAAAGTGAAACCATTAACTGAACAATGAATTTGGTCAACAGGATCAAACTTTAATTGAACATAAAGTGAATGGACAAACTAGCATACCTTCAACTCCTTCCTCAATATCTTCAAGATTAAATATTGGTACAGTAGGGTCAACATTCTTTGATTTCTTCTTGGAGTCCTTCTTGCTTGATTTCTTTCGAGATCCACCAAAGCATGATGAGAGAATACCTTTCTTCTTGCCCTTTGGTTTAAGAGGAGGCTCATAACCATACAGAGCCGTTCTGTTGAAGACACATCCCGTACCCACATACACAGGACCTTGGATACCATCCAAACCTCTCAAATTGATCTATAATGCAGAAGAAATAGAGCATGAGTAAAAAGAAGAAACTTGAAGCCAGAACTGAGAAATTGTAACAGCACCAGGGAAAACATGTAATAGGACTCACATCAAAAAAGACAGTGTTACGATTAGCATATCGATCATTCCTATCAATTCCATCAAATCTCTGTGGAAATTGAACGTAACAAACATATTTCCCTAAGTTTGGATCCATCATAAAACACATAGCTTCCCTCAATGCCTTGCTGTTGTTGATATAATGATCACAATCAAGATTCAATAAGAATGGCCCATTTGTGAGCACAGCTGATACACGAACCTGCATGGGTAAGTTAACCACGTAATTAAGTAAACACATCCCAGCAAAGACAACAGGAAATGTTGAAGTTGAGTGGGTGACTACTTACAAGAGCATTCATAGCACCAGCTTTTTTGTGATGCTGAAACCCAGGCCGTTTTTCACGAGAGACATAAACCAAACGTGGAAGTTCATTACCATCAGTATCAAGTCCTCCACTCTGGCCCAAGAAAACCTGCAAATAACACCAATATGTATTATGAAACTGAAGTAGTTTGGAGTAGCAGCATATATATCTGTTTTGTGCAATAATTCAGCCCTAAACCAACTTCCACCTTAAGAAAGGAAGCAAAACTAAACCCAGGTTCCCAACCCACATAGTATACAGACGGTTTTCTTTAATCTCTAGATTAAATGGACATACCTGGATCATTCCTGGATGGTCCCTGGTATTGTTGCCAGGCCAAGGTGTCCCATCTTGCATGACCCATCCTTCCTCTGGAACCTTTGTTGCCTTCGCAACAAGTCCATTAACACGAATCTTGAACTCTTCATATTCTCTCTGCAGAGGAGATTAGAGCTATCAGAAAAAGATATAGAAAGAAAATATTAAAACCTGAAACAAGAAGAATTGATCTCTCACCTTCATAGCCCTGCGATCTTTCACAAAAGATGGTAGAACCTTATCTTTTAGATAGTCAATCTTTTGAGAAAAGTACCATTCCGGAGCTCGTGGCTCAATGTTATATTTCTTAACGAAAGGAACCCATTTTTTTGCAAACTCTGATGTCTCTGAAAGAGCTTCAAATGTCAGCATAGCAGCTCCATCATCAGACACATAGCAAGAAACTTTGTCAACAGGATAGTCAACTGCAAGAATGGATAGCACAGTATTGGCTGTGACAAGGGGAGGTTCTTTCAACGGATCCACAGTACTGACAAATATATCAACAGCTGCTAACTGTGATGGTTCCCCTTCACGATCATACCTGTGCAAAGTAAGAAATGTGCCATTAAAAACTACAAACAATATGATACAATCTTATATAAGTAGTGCATAAAGTGTATAGTCTATAAGATTACAGCTTGTTACCTTAGGGCCAGCCTGTCAAGATATGTCTCACGATTGATGGGAAGCCATTTGGGAAATTGATCCAGAATCCATGAAAATGCAAACCAAATCTCACAAATGACAGAGATCAGCCACAATGCATAGGCATCACGCACAGGATTTGTTAGACGGTAGTGCAAAAAGATACCAAGAACAACAAGACGCAGAACAATAACCATCCTGTAAGGATTAATCTTGGATGAAGGAATGGGAACCTTCCTTGATAACGGCTGGCGTGTCTCATCATTTCTGCAATATATATCTGAGTGTCAGGCAAATGTAACAAACTTACAATTACACCTTAATATAAAAAAGGCTATTTTAATTTATTCCTTGACAAATTATGGCTGACATATTATTGGATTACACCGATAATCTCCTAAAAGACAGCACCCTTCACTGGAATTAATAATCAGCATCAACAAAACTGAAGCTGCTATCAAATTCACATTAGCATTTCAAGCCTTAAACCCTCTACATAGCATAGGAACTGAAACAGTTAACAAAAGGAACTGATTCCTCTTATTGCAAGATCGATACGATAAAACTTTATTGACGATGGAATTATCCCAGCCTATACACCTTCAAGTCTATAATTTCAATAGTCATTTTCTGTGAATATAAGCCCCGCCTTTCAACTAAAAAGGCTATTTTTGTAGCCATTGTAGGTAATGTTTAAAATATATTGTATCAATCACTAAATGCAGCAGGTTAGAAAGAAGGTTGTGACTGTAAATATAATATACTAAAAAAAGAGACATCAAAGTTCATAAATATGTTGAGCAAGGTACTCACAGTAAAGGATCGTCCATAGCAATTTCAGTACTGGCATCAATATCATTGGCAAACCTTCCCTCTGAAGGTGCATGACTAACACTTGGAGGACCTGTACTCTTCTCTTGCTTCATCTTCCAACCATCAATCCTTTCCTTCCAAGCTACATTTCCAAATCCAGGAGACGCAAATTCCCTAGACATTCTAATATTAGCTGCAAAAAGACAATTTTACATACTGTAAATAGACATTAAACCAGAAAGAAGTTCAATCAACAGTGAAATCTGAAAATTGTCTCTTTATTACTATAACTGCCAGTAAATATATAACCATTGTCATTAGTTCATTACCTCCAGTGCTGGCCCCAGGTGATGGCATTGAATATCGCTCAGGTGATGCAGCTGACAGATCTCCAGAAATCTAAGCAACAAGAAGAACATTTCATCAGCATGATAATCTGTTTGCCAGAAAGTAACATGCGACTTCCAAAACTATGAGAGAATAAATACCGTGCGTCCGCTAGCAAGCCGGGGGATATGGCTATGGCTCATAGGAACCTCTCTATCATAGCTAGGGGGACCAAGCTCCCCAGATTGTCCCTGGTTCATATGCCAACCAAGCATTCTCTCCTGTGGCTTCTCCTTTGGTATTGAAATTCCTGAAGGCTCATTGATGTCACTGACAACATCATCAACATCAGAATCTTCCACCTTCTCCCCATGAATTGCAGGACTACCTGTAAAGAAGGACACAACACTCATTAATCACCATTCTTGCGCACATTTAATTAATACACAGGCATATCACTTTAGACGCACCTTTCTGCCTCTTGTATCTTGTCTTGCATTGTGGGCAAGATTGGTTGCCATCTTTCCGCTCATACTCATAACAAGCACGACACACAGGAAAGGCACAAACATCACAGGCAACAAATGGCTCTCCATCTACAGTTGTGCCGATCTTATCACTACAAATCTGGCATACTTGTTCACTTGTTTTTGTGGGCTTCAACTAAAAAAAAGCAGAAGATCCAGTTCCAAAATCAGCATGAGGCCACAATGTATACAAAATCATAGAGAATTATGTATGGTGAATAGGTTTTGACAATCAAAGTCATTGGGAATTAAGAAGCAAGAACATGAATTTAATCAAGCCACAGAGAGTTACGATTTGTAAATATCATGCTAATCATAGTGTACAGCAAAATTAAGCTCAATTACATAAGCCTAGGCGTGGGATCATTATAGTTCATGATTGTAGGAGGATCGTACACTCGAACCCAAAACTCAAGATCAAATCCCCGTCTACATCACTGTCCTTTATGACTCTTTATACACCAAAACAATTCGACAACATAGACAATTACTTGTAAACAGGAAATCCAGATTCTACAATCATTAATCATTTCACTATAAACTAACTACAAAACACTCAGATTTCGACCCAGTTACATAATTCAGCAAATTCAAAGAAATAATCAATACCCAAATTTATAATTCAGCTCAATCAATCATTTCAAGTTACAATCTTCAAATAATTTATAATTCATCCAGATCAATAAGAAGCTCAAATGGGTTAATTAAATTTCAATCAAAAAACCAATACAACTCAAGTAATCATAGCAACTGATCCAAAAATATGCAATTTTTACAATAATTAACCAATAAATTCAAATGAATAAATCAAATCAAATCAATACAAAAATGAAATACTAACCCCACTTTGTGAATCCTCCATTAGAACAACCAAGATCTAATAATACCCAGAAAAATTCAATCTCTCCTCATTAATTAAAAAACCCCAATAAGCTTAAAAGTGGATTAAGATCCAGAAATCAAGAAAAAAATAGAAAGGGTAAATAATTGTCGGCGCTTCAATGCAACCAACCTTCCTTCCTTTCCCCAAGAAGAGAGAGAAAGATAAGAGGAGACAGAAAAGAGGAAAGAGAGCAGAGTAGAAAAAAATGAAGAGAAGTTGAGTTTAAGACTAAGAGTGAAGCCAGAAAATAAATTAAAAAATGACACCGACAGTGAGAGAGAAGATTTTTGGATCTGACTGCTGGCTGCTACTACTACTGTGAGTAGAATTTTACAAATATACAGCTACATTATCATGCCATTTTTGGATATTTCTTGGTTTTAAAGCATGTTTTACTGTCTTTTTATCTGGGTTTTTGATTTGTTACTGCTACTCTTGAATTAGAACTAGATAGAAATGGAAAGCGATGGGCTTGAAGAGTTATATCTGTCAAACCAGAGGTTCAGGTTCGGTTCGAGTTGGGTTATGTCGATAATATAGTCATGCTGGCGTATTAGTGCGTTTGCGAATATAGTCATGATGGCGTATTAGTGCGTTTGCTGTGTCTAGGCCAATTCAAATCAACCTTGGATCAACGGATCTATGAGATGGGGATTATTTTTTTGAAGGTAACCTATTGACCCGTGGGTCAAAGGATTTATGAGATGGGGATTCAATTACTCATTCCCCTATTCAATCTATGGTAGGGTGGGTAACCTACTGACCCGTGGTCCTCTCCTGTATCTTATTGTTATACTTCCTCCGTTACGCATTATGTGCAACAATTTCCAAAAACGGAAGTTACACATTATGTGCAACAAAGTAAAAAATTTTATAGTAAATATTTTTGTATAAAATAACCCATATGCCCTTACTTAAGTTCAATAACACACATTAAATTAATAAGATTGTATGTTTTATTATATTAAACTAAAATAATTCATTTATGATAAAATCCCTAATCTTAATCTCTCTCCTCCCTCACAACCTATCCACCACCATCATCACCAACTGTTCACTCACCTCCATAACAACCACCACCACAGCAACCATCACCACCACCACAACCACAACTACTTCTCATTCTCTTTTCTCTCTGCCACGACCCCAGCCCACCTCCAGGCAAAAATGCCCCACCCAGCCGGCCACCCATAACCTCGAACTCCCACTCCATTGCTGCCGCCCTGAAATTCCCAGATAATTTCCGACCAGCCACACTTAACCCAAAAGCCGCTTCTCTTTCTTTTTTCTTCTCCGAAAACCACCGCCGATCGAGTCACACTAGCCCTATTTTCCCTCGTCAAAGTCGTCGCCGACTCTTTTTCCCCTTTTTTTATAGCCGCCGATCATCCTCAAAATTGAACCCTAAAAATTGATCGGGTTTTGTTTGGCTGCGAATTGGTTGAGGTTAGTTTTCGGTGGTTATGGAGGGGTTTCAGATCTTGGTTGTGTCTGTGATTTGGGTGGGTTGGGGTTTCGGATCTTGGCAGTGGTGACTGGGTTACAAGTTGCGGTGTTGATGCGAGTTGTTTGGAGTGGGTTTTGGTGGTTATGGTGATGAGACAGGATGGGGTGGTGGTGGTTAGTGATTACGGGATGAGGTGGTGGTGGTTTCGGGGTGTGGGTAGATGTGGGTGGTGGTGGTTTCGGGGTGTGGGTGGTGGTGGAGGTTGCTGCTGGTGGGTGGTGGTAGGTGGTGGGCGTGGTGGATGTTGCATTGTTGCTGCTGGTGGATGGTGGTGGCTGATTAATTTTCCCCCTTTCTCTCTCCTACCCTTAATCACAAACCCTTTAATTTGTTAATCACCTATTAACAAATTTTATCGTGGGAAACGTGCAACAAGGTTTGTGTAACGGAGGAAGTAAACAAAAGTGTAAAAAAAAAAAAAAATATCAACTCAATGTCACTTTGATTCATCAAGCTAATCTAGTGGTAAGATTGTCACCTTTTGATCTTGAGGTTGGGGCTTCAATCCCCACTAGAGACATTTTGAGAGTGAAAATCCTTTACCCTTCTCCCTTAATCTTAAAGTTTCTGACCCAAACCAAAAAATAGTAAGGGTTAAGGTACGGTAGACATATATTAAATAAATACAAAAAATTGTCTTAGTTATGTTTTGTCTAACTAAACTAGAAATTTATTGCTTCAAAAAAAAAAAAAAAAAAAAAAAAATAGAAATTTATAATCACACAAATTATAATTTAAATAAAATACATAAATAATGAAAAAAAAGTGTTACAACTAAGTAAAAAGAAAGAACTTTAAAATAAAACCAAAGGATTTGGTACCAATTTGTAATTGGTGTGAAACGTCAAAGCGTCGGTATGTAAATAGGAGAGTAGTTAGTGTAATAATAATGGTTAGATAAAGAGGATGTTATCGTTTGGGCATCATTTACGGTGAAGATACATCATACAATCATCCTACCCTTCTCATTTTCTTTCCCATCTACCATCACTTGTTTCCATGTGCTTAACTGGCAATTTCTTCAAATCCTTCACGTTTCGCATTCTTCATTTTTATAATCCAGTGGGTGAAGTCACTAAGCTTATTTTACTCCACATTATTTTTCGTAACTTATCTAATGATGTATTTTTTGTGTGATTAGTCATAGTGTCATACCGTATATCCGCTTATAAAAACACTGAATAATTATCATAACACTAACTGAGTAATTCATATTATATTGATAAAGTAACCCCTTAATCTAGGGGTGGCAATTCGGGTCAGCAGGACGAATTCGGGTCAGATTTCAGGTTAATTTTGGGTTATGTTTGAAACTATTAAAAATAGTGTAAAACTTAATATTATTATGAAATATGAGATTTGGGTGAAATCAAGTCAAATTCATATTGTTCGGGTTCAAGTCGAGTTCGGGTTCGGGTTTCTCTCAGTAAATTCAGGTCAGGTTATCGGGTCGGGTTAGGGATTGCCAGCCCTACCTTAATCCCTTATTATACTCCGTACTTATTGAGTAACCTCATTGTGGCTAGTTATACTTTATATTTATGCATTAATTGATTTATTACAATACTAGTTTTCCTACATGCATACACTTAGTAAGTTAAAGTAAAATAGATTAAGGGTCTATTCTGATTTACTAAACTGGGCTCAACCGATTGGAGCTAAGCTGAAGTGAATTGTTTATGAGAGAAGGAAATTAAAAACTGAATTAAAATAAACTGAACTGAAATTAAGCTAAAGAGAATATGCCCTAAGTTAACCCTTAACTCGCAATATTTTGGTTTAAATCTTAATGTAGCACAATTTGCATATGAAACAAATGAATAGGGCCATAAGGTTTAAGGGAGGAGTCCATATGTTTATGATCTGTATTGCTTCTTATATAAATGTTGAGGAATAGGTTTTTTTTCAAGTAACACATGTCAATGATGTAAGTTTCCCACATGGATAATACTTGATAATACTTCTTATGTCCATATTTTTTCCCATTTGACTTTTTATGATCCTCAAGATACGTCTTCAAATATTTCATCTTATTATTGGTCAAACTATCAAACTGGCTTGAGGTTGTGATGTTGGTGAATTTTAATACATGAAACACTTTTTTTTTCACGCTTACCAATGAACTAGTTCAATAATTAGTATTTATAATTACCAATGTGTAAAAGTTATAAAAAAAAATTTTGATATTATAAAAGTAAAAATCGAGACGAAGCTGACAAGATATCACATGATTATATTTGTCATAACTTATAAATCACCAAAACTAGTCAAAGTGAGATATGTGAATAGTGTAAAAGTTTGTTGCACGTAAAAATAGATGGAGAAAATATATCTATTTCTATACGCATAAAAATTATAAAACTTTGATATTAAATATACAATAAGGCGATTCCAATAACATCTCACATGAATATATTTTCATCTATAAAAGTTGGATCCAAATATATACAATGAAGCAAAAAAATAAAGGATAAAGAGAATAGTTTAGAGAGTCAAACACTTTATAAGACAAATGGACTACTCCTATTGACAAATTATTTTGGGATGAAACCTCCAGAAACTTAAAAATTATGGCCTATTCTGATTTACTGAAAACAATTAAGATGAACTGAACTGATTAGAGCCAAGCTAAATTGAATAGAGTTGAAATGAATTGTTTATGAGATAAGGAAATTAGGAATTAAACTGAACTAATTGGAACTAAGCTGAACTGAAATGATATTAAGCTGAAGAAAACAGGCCCTATTTTGGACAAATCTTAGAAAGGAGTTTTTAGGAATTTGTTAAAGGTTTTAAGGGGTTTTAGTAATCAAATCTGCTAAAAGAAGATAAACACAATCTCCAAATGAATGAGTCAAGAGCAATAAATTATAGAACTACAATTATAATTATAAATCGAAGAACAAATATCAAAGTAAGAGAGGCATTTCTAAGTAAGGACAGAATAATGCCAGTAAGGACGATATAAATCAAAGATTTTAGTATAAAAGTGTAGTAAATTGTATTAGACGATGTATGAATGTATTGCAAAAAGCATCCTATTTATAACGATTTGTAAGTTTAATAAAGGTAAATGTTCAAGAATCCTCGTTATATGGTAATGTTTACAATAATATTGATTGGCAACTTCATCTTTGAGGAAGTGTTTACTTGGTGATTGATATTTCCTGGATCTGCTCCCTCAATCTTGAGATGTAATTGTGCTTGCTGCCAAGCCTGCTTACACATCGTTAAATGGTTTGACCTTCGAAGGGAATTTGCCTTTATCAAAAAGACGGTTATCTTACTCAAAAAGGTGCAATTGAGTTCGTTTTGTCCGTACTCAGTTGGTACCCTGCGCTGATAATATTCCGTCAATCAAGTGATTTGTTTCCTAATTTAGCTTTGATTGATTGATTCTATAGTCTTGATTGATTTCATAATATTTTTATATGATTATTGACTTCTTAATTGGACTAATTAAATCCTTGACTGATGTATGATTCTATTTAATGTTCTTTTGATATCTTTAACCAACCATGTTTCCTATTTCACTTTGTTTCCTTATTATGTGTAATTGATCCTTTGATTGATCTTTTCCTAATTTGTAGGTTGTTAGGAATCCGTTTCCAACAGGCCCTTAGACTCTCTCTTGGTGACTATTATAGCCCTAGGATTGGAAACCCAATAGCCAAATTTTGGAATACAAAATATTATGGAGTATGAAATTTCATTATCATTTTCCTTATCCTTTTATTCAAAACCAAAATAAATAAATGGTTTAGGGACATTAGGCAACTATAAGTTAGTAATAGACATAAAAATTTGTATACCTAACATGTTGGCATGTACGCTCGCATGCATAGAGTACTAGTATACACAATTACAAATAACACATAAACCAAACATTAATTAAAGCTTTTATTAGATAAGACATGTTAAAGGGGTGGATGGATTTAAAATGGATCAACAATTCAACATATAACACAATCTACAAGACTGGATTCGAGAACCAGCTTTAGTTACTACTCAGTTCCAATATACTTCATCTACTACACATGCAAACACATCTGATTTTACTTTGGATTCGGCTTTATAACCCACTCTCAGTGGTGGCTGGCTGACTGCACTATCCCTTGGACGGATCTAAACAAAGTACACTGGCATTAACCTAGACAACCAGCTTGAATTTAAATTGAGTTCCCTAGACAACCAGCTCGAATTTAAATTGAGTTCCAATCGATAATTTCTTCAAAGCACTATAGAAGCATCAACCAACTCTATATTACTCTGATTCTTCCTTTAGTATCCTTCCAATCATGCTTTCTCTGTACTGACAGTACGTGATGACTTTATCTGTACTGATATATTGAGCTAGATAATCTAAGTTCTAATTTCTAAACAGCTTCAAATGTAAAAGGCATAATATCTATCATCCTGAAACAAAGTTATATAATGTAACAAAGAAACGCATCAAGCCATCAACAAAAAAGCTGCAATCTTGGCTTTTAAGCGAGAGACAAGAACAAAACATAATGGAACATCTTCAAAATAATCCAGACGAAATAACAAACAATTAAACATGGGGCCTGCATAAAAAGACATTAAACTGTATACGGAGAAACTTCTATCATGATAACTTCAAACTTCAAAAGAACACAGAAGAAGGAAAAAAAAAAAACCCTAAAAAAGGATAAATAACATAACTATATGCTAAAAAGTCAATAATGTTGGAAAATTGCTAAGAAACAATCATGATTAACACCTACAAGTAACGGTACCACAGTTTTCATTAAATCTCAAGCAACAAACTGACAAGATCCAAACCTGGAAATCAGACTCAGCATAAAAACATTTTGCTTTTCACTCAGCAAGCAGGCTTTCACCAGTTCACCCATGGGCAATAAGCTAAGTGTATTTGAAATAACAGAAGTCTAAGTCATTCGACAAACCCAAAATCCCAGTCCCCGAGGAGAAAAATAGAAGAAACAGCTAGCCATAGTACCACTTGCACAAATGCCCTTACCAGAACAGACCACAATGTTCTTCCACCTGCTGTTGAAGGCATTAAAAAACTATTCTCCTCAAATATCACTTTCTAAACTCAATGAAGATTGAAGGGAAACATAACCTACAGTAACTGAAATACTTCGTTATCATTGACAATCTACGGAAACAATATAATATACCATTGCTTTAGTTTCTCAAGAGAAGACAAGAAGATAATCTAATGCTGTATGTTTGACTTGTGGACTGAGGTCAGCAAGGATGTTAAAAAACAAAAAGTCAAACACCACCTAGTTTAAGTTGTGCCAGGTGAAGTTCAGGAGACTGAAACATGACTCATAAGATACTAACATGTAAGCAGTCGAATCCTAAAATCCAAATTAGAAGAGGAGGCTATTTCAAGGTATATATATGGAACAAAACAAGCTATTATTACAGGACCTAGGATATCTTATAACACACAGAAAGTCGAATTCAACGGTCATATGATGATAAAGGGTCTCAAAAATATACTACCCCGTTAACTTTTAGTTGCAACTTTAGGGTATTATTTGTGAGATATAAAATATTCCAAAGTTGCAACTAAAAGTTAACGGAGGTAGTATTAAAGTGTCCAACAAAATCCTAGAATCTCCTACATGGATTACAGAGTTGAACAGCACAATAATTGCATATCGTGCTAGGTATCACACGTTAGTACCAACATTTTCAGAAGAACATCTTCATTCTGAGAGAAGAGAGTAACCAGATTGTCACACATCTTGAGAAGTCACAATTATTAAATTGTTTGATGAGACGACACAAACTAGGTTCACAGACTTCACACCTAAGAAGTAATCAACTAGGTACCACCCTTCCGGAGAAATTTAATTTCAACAATTAATTGCTGATCTATACTAGTGGTTCAACTTCTTGTTAATGATGGGATGTTAATAGAGTTCTAGGCTCCTAACATAATATTGTGTGAATAGTTAACAAATTGTCACATAATAGCAAGGTCTCATTTGCAGAGGTTGATTTACAGAGCCTTAATAACATAACCGTGAATTATATTACACAAACCAAAGTAACTGAAATCCATTAGGTGGCTCGTATAGGCTATTAGTGGTTGAGTGCAAGATCATCTACTATTGATTCATCCACGAAGATTCCAACACCACTTGGTCTTATACCCTCTTCTCTCATATCAGGTTGACTACGACTTAGGAGCCTAAGAGGCACAAAGACGGGTAGAAAGACTTCAAACACCAGTCTTAAGTACTGAAACTTGCGTATTATAAACGAAAATGTAGTATTATGGCAATTCAAAGCGATAAATTTGTGTGTTTTAATTTACATTTAAGAACGATTGAAAAGAAAAAATTTCATTCATGAAACAGGTACATTCAAAATTTCCTATATTCAACAGAATAATTATAAACCCGAATTCTCAATGGTAACATAATAGCAAAAGAGGTACCTCTTTAGTTAATGAGATCTACTTCTAAATTCATTTATAGCACATCTGGAATCCATTGACCAGAAATAGGAAAGCATAATCAAATAATATAGATGAAATGAAATACTTTATCATCATCAGATTGAGCATTATATAGCACAATTAGAATCAACAACACTATGAATAGAATCAAACCAGCAAATATAGAGCAAATCTAGCAATAAAATTAAACCCACTTCCTAATTTCTAAACCAACAAGATCAATAAAATCACAATTAAATAAACTCAGAAGCAAACCCATTAATTTATCAGTCGCATTAAAATATTCAATCGAACATTGCGCCTGCTAATTTGAGCAAATTTGCAGCTTAAACAGTAATCGCAATTGACAGCACCAACCTGAAATTAAAATAGGGTTTATGTTCATAAATCTATCAAAGAAAAAATAACCCAAAAAAAAAATTAAGAAAAAAAAGGAGAAATTGCAAATCTAGGGTTTTTGTTTCATGAGCTCGAATGAGGTAGATGAGGTACTTTGATAGTTTTCTTACGTCTCTTTTATCTCACAAAGAGACACGAGGTACCTTTCATCAGCTCCTATCATTCCCATGGTATCGGAGGAGAATCACAACCCTGATAAATTAAATTTATCCGTTAACATCTTCGTTCCTGGCCTCGCCGACAACTATACCAACAAACTTTATTACACATTTTATTGAAGTGGAGTGAAGAAAGTTATCATCTGCATGTTTGTTTGAATGTTGGTTAGGAGACGGCGCCGTAGATGGTTAATTTGTCAGAGTTGTAACTCTCCCTCGATAACACATAAAAGCGATAGTAACCCATAAAATCAAGGTGCTCATGCTCTCTTAGTGAGAGAAAGAAAATTAAAATACCATTTTTAGTGAACCTCGTTGGACTTATATGTAATATCCATTTTTCTAACATAAACTTTATTTATAATAATTGGCAAGAACTTTTGACCTTATTCCTTAGTCATCCTCCAATACTTAAGGTTCCCTCTTATTAATCATCTAATATTATTAAATGAACATCATCATCAAGTTAAGAGTTAAGACCAATACCTAAAAATTAAATACTTCCACTATTGAATCATCCCCTTTAATATTGTATCTAACATGGTTACACGAGGAAGGATTACACTACCTAAAGCACGTTTTAAACTTGATATATCGATGTTCAGTATACTAAAAAATGCTACTCCGTAAATTGTGAAATTATATATTGGGACAAATTTAATAAGATTTTATATGTATATAATTATGTTATTTTGTATATACAAATTACAATTTTATTTTTTTTGACAACAACAGAAAACAGCAAGGAAAAAAATATAAAAATAACTAAAAAATTAAAAAACATCAAAAGGAATGGAGGTAGCAAAACATGAACCCGTTTGACGACATTGGTTTGCAAGCTTGTGAGGCCGATGAACATCTTCTCTCCTGACTTTTAGGATTACACAATGTTGAAAAGATTTACCTATCCTTCGGATTTCCTTAACTATCCAGAAGAGGTCCATTGATAAAGCCCCTTCTTTGCATAGTGAGTTGATCATCATAGTAGAATCTGTGTATAGCTGTATGGATATATATCTATTTTCTCGGGCTCAGACCAAAGTTGAAAGGAAAGCAAGACCCTCGACATGAAGGGTCGAGGAAGCAATACCAGAAGTACCCCCCGCATCTCTCTCCCTTTGGTCAGATAGAGTGATCGTTCAGCCTGTTCCATATATTTTTGACGATTTGTGCCAAGATCCATCAACTTGAATAGTAAAGGGCTTAGGAGTGCCTTCGAAATAGAGGAGGCGGGAAACCATGCCTAAATTAATATGAAGAAAACCCGGGGGATGGTGAGAATCTTGAAATTACAATTTGTGGTAAGAAAAGTGAGTGAATATAGTGTCAAAAGTGTAAACATTGCAACATTAAATGAATGGAGAAAATATATAAAATAGTACACTAACATCTATGGTGTATTTTTATAATGCATTACTTTTTAATTGTTTTACTTTAACCCGATCTTACAGTATTCATAGTATTATTTGACCATATTTTCCACTACTTACTCTATTCCAAAATAAATTTATCACTCTGATTAGGGTCTGTTTAGATTTACTGAATTGATTGGAGCTAAATTGAACTGAGTTAAAATGAATATTTTATGAGAGAAGGAAATTAGGAACTGAATTGAACTAAACTGAAATTAAGCTAAAGAGAAGAGACCTTACACATTTAAAAATATACTTAGTTGACCAATAATATTTTTAAATATCTCTTTGTACAAATCATGAATAGTTTATATGTTTAAAATAAACATTATTATGAATTAAAAGAGTGACAACACTCATTAAAGCTAGATTTTTAGAGCTTTGTGCATGTTTTGTAAGAAAAAAAAGATAAAGACGCGTTTTTTTAAATTTGTGTTATTGTGTTAGGTGGCTATACCGAAGTTTTGTGTGCGAGTGTTTTGTAAGAAAAAAGAGTGAAGACGCGTTTTTTAAATTTCATTATTTTGGAGGTTACATTATTTGTGTTGATGTGGTAGGTGACTATATGAAAGTTTTGTGTGTGGCCAACCATATAGAATATATGTTGCTCTTTCAAATAAAACAATTTTTTTAAAAAAAAGTTAAAAGTAATGGACTTTATTCAAAAAAGTCAATTAGCATTTCTTCAAAAAAAAAAAAAAAAAAAAAAAGTCAATTAGGAGTAATAAAATAATAAATTGAACTAAACTAACATTAAAAACCAAAAGAAAAGGCCATGACACAGCTTGTCTAAATATAGAAATTTGGAGCCTTAATCGGATTGGGCTAAGAGGTCCAACAAATCAACAATTTATGTACCTTTTTCGATGGTGGGCTCTAAACTACTCAATATCACTCAAATAGATTTTTTCTTTCATAATCTCTTTGTAAACTTTTTTTTTTCACCAACTTTTTGGGTTCTTTTTTAGTTAATTTGTTTCTTTTATCATGTTTGTCTAACACACAAATTCAATAATTACGATTATCGATAAGTTAAAAAAAAATATAACAAAAATGATATTATAAAAAATACATTGATAATTCTATCAAGATCTCATAAACTAGAGTTTGAATTATATCAAAATCAAAACATGTCAACTAAAACAGAAGAAATAACATAAAGTCTTCCTCTCTAATTTATAATAGTCCGCTTTTCTTTTGGATGACTCGAAATGATATACTTTGTTAACATAGCTCCACATGTTCTTCCATCGTTCATTTTACTCTAATCCTTATCATTTTTTTAAAACACAATCCTTATCTTGTTTGAAAGTTGTTTTATACAAGATATTCGTATTATTTATTTCTAGTAAAATATACTTATTGAATGATATTCTTTCCTATCATATCATATCATATAACTAATATATAAAGCTAAACTTTTAGCCAGACGACGAGATAACGACACTTGGCGTTCCAATTTTTAGCCAAGTGTCAACGCCAAGTGTCGCTCCACGTAGGGTAGAGTTATATAGAATTCAATTTGTAGGATAAAAAAGTTAATTTAGAATTCTATTTTCGATCAAATTTGGATAGAATTTTAGGATAAAATTGTTAATTTAAAGTTTTATTTTCGATAATGTATCAATATTTCATATGTACAAATTAAATTATAATTTTATTAAAAAAAAAATTATAACACTCATAAATTATCATATAAATTTATTTTTTGTATCATAGTATTTTTTTGGAGCGAAGGAATTAGTTCAAAATGCACCACCTTCATTATTTATAATATATTCTAATCAATTAAAAGAATATACTTTACAATCTAATATAATTTTATTACTGTGTGTAGACCTGTCATTCGGGTCGGGTCACGAGTCATTTCGGACAGGGTCATTATTTCAGGTTACGGGTCAAGAAATGTTTTTCACCAATGTTATTATTATTAGTCATTACATGCATACTATATAGTTTAAATCATCACAAAAACACATCAATTCCTAACTAATTTTGTATCAATGATATGTTTTAAAATTTGACATATAGATTAAAAATTTATCTTAAAATTCAATAAACAACCCGGGCATCGCACGGGCACAAAACTAGTAACTAATATATAAAGTTAAACTTTTAGCCAGGTCAAGAGACAGCGATACTTGACATTCCAATTTTTCGCCAAGTGTCGCGTCATGTTGAATAGATTTGGATAGACTTTCTTACGCTAAAAAAATTAGTTTATAAATCTATTTTCAATCATATTTGGATTGTACAATAAAAAAGTTAATTTAGAATTCTATTTTCAATCATATTTGGATATAATTTTGGGATAAAATTGTTAATTTATCTCCAAATTGAATAAAACAACCCGGGTATCACACGGGGTACAAAACTAGTTCTATATAAATTGATACTCCCTACAAACTACCCGTAATTTTTTTATTAGTATAACTCCTCCAAAGCATTTTTATTTTAGTTTTTAGGTTTTACTTGTAATAACCTGTGTGGCTGTGCTTCATGGATCAAAATGCAAGTTACATTTTGGAACACAATTTACTTTTTAAAATTTCAAACCTTGAACTATTAGTACCATACTACCATATACTTGTATATAAAAAGTCAATCACATAGTCGAATATCAAATATTATTCCAAACTTCCAATCAATTTATAAAGAAGTATAAGGTACAATATATACAAGAAACGAAGACTATTTTATGATACAAATAATGTTAACCTAGCTAGAATAATGAGCTAGATATACCCAATTCGATCATAACATAATTCCTATGTTCAAATTTAGTCATCACACTAATAGATTGACGAGTATTAGATTACTATATGCAACACCAGACTATTAATTCCGAACAAAGAGTGTAATTCTACTAGTCGTCATTTATTTAAGTTTTTGAGCATTGTGGGAAGACATCTTCAACCTTGGATATTTTGACATTATTGCAAGTTGCTTCGGTGGATTTTGCACCATTAATACCATCAATCTCAACATTCTCCATAGTAATTCCTTCACAAGGATAATTTTCACTGCAATCAAATATCACGGCTTTTTCTGAAGAACTTGTTCCTTTTATGTTTTGGTACACCACATTTTTCACACGTACCGCCGAGGCCTATTTTTCAACATTATATATGCACCAAATTAAATTAGCCAAAATTCAACCTTGTAAAAAGTAGGATACAAATAATGTAATGTACATTATTATTGCGTGATTAACGTACCTGTTTTTTGCATGGTGTAGCTTGGTCACAATATTCTTGGTCTATAATTATCGGATTTTTTACATTAGATAACATTATATTTTCAAATACGATGTTACTTGCAACTCCTGATCCACCCTGAACGCAAACATCACATTGAAAATTTTAGTATATATAAATATATAATGTTGTCATAAACTCAATGAGTTGTGCCCAGTTAATTCCCCAAATAAACAAATTGGGGGTATAATCGTCTTTTCAACTATTAATGGAGGGTACATGCGTCTTTTTATGTACTAGTTGAGGGATATATGTGTAATTTCCTAAATGCAAGTTGCAAACAGTAATTGAACAGCTCACCAAATGTACTGAATAAATGACCACGCTTTTTCAATATATTTACAGAAATACCACCATAGTAACAAAAATTCGTTTATCTGATAAACTTGTATTTACCGAAAATCAATTAAGACTTCAAATAATTTATCGTATTGGCCATTTTTAAAATTAAAGGGGTGACAAAGTAACTCATTATCTATGGCGATACCTACGAGAGACTACGTGCGTACATACCTCCCAAGTCTTGATTCTTAAGCCATTGGTTGTTCCAGTAAGAGTTGCTCCATTCACTATTACATCTGAAACATGAGCCTCAGAATTTTGGTCACCTAGGCTTCCAATACTGCAAAAATTCAATTATTAGTACGTAAAATTACTTGCAACAAATTAATTCCATTAAAAAATTTCAAATTCATTTTTTCAAAGAGAAAAGAGAAACCTAAAATTGTTGTTATGGTTTCGATTATACCTGATTCCATGGCCTGGTCCGCAAGTAAAGTCAGTGACTCGAACCGTTTTTGAACCGCTCTCAATCGAAATGCAATCATCACCTTTGTTTTATGATGAACAAAGAAAAAATATATATCAATGTTATTATAAATTTTAAGGATTGGAATATAACCTATGTTATTAATATCTTAATCTTCGGACTATATATATATCACCAAGTCAAAAAGTCTACTAAAAAGATAGTATATTGTAACATAAAAAAATTTCGATATGTACGTCTAAATTCGAGATGCCTTTTATTAATGGTAATTATTTAAAGAAGTACTTAGTGTTTAAGAAATTCTTCCATAACTCTTAGAGTACGTAGTTTGTTTCTTATTGATTTGGTCAATGACCAGGTTAACCAAAAATGAAGTACTCCATACTAAGCTAATTAATTTTCTGATAGTGAACCTGTGATATTTATGTAGTTGTTAATTTTATTACCTGTTCCAACGCTAGACTTTGTAATTTGAATGTTTTGGGTGCTGGTAATGTGTATGCCATCAGTATTAGGGCTATTCTCGGGAGAATTAACCTTGAGACTAGAAACCTTAACATTATTGCATAGTTGAAAGGAAACATGCATTTGTTGAGCATTTTGGATATTCAAATTTGTCACAGCCAAATTCTTGCAATTTTCAAACGTTAGAGCCTACAAAAATACACAATAAAACCAAATATATATCAATAATAATGTTTATATACTTGTTGTAAACAAAAATATGATTTGATAAATTGTGTTACACTGTACAGTGTATTTTAATTGACAAATGGGTTAGCCAAGAAACTTACTGTTGGTGCATGCTTGCAAGGCTGAAATTTAAGAAAAAAAAAAAATTGAATTAGCCATTTTCTTATTCAAAGAAATAATAAATTAAAATGATCATCAAATAAATACTACCTCTGATTTTTTTTTTAGTTGTAACTTTGGATTATTTTATATGTCTTAAATAATACCCTAAAGTTGCAATTAAAAAATCGGAGGTAGTATTAGATTTTGAAATTCTCCAAATTTCTTACCAGCTTTGTGTTAATTTTACAAGAGTTCTTCCACCATGTCTTTCCATTGCCATCAATGACACCGCCACCTTCGACGGACAAGCTATTGACATTTTTTATTACAAGCCAGAGCCTAGCATCTTCTTCGTAAACTGATCGATCTTCGGAGGCTAAGATGGTTCCCGAAATCTATAATCAATACATACAATTAAGTTAGAACATTCATACATAACACAAATGATGTTTAATAATTTATGTATATTAAAGCAAATTATTATTCCATTTATTTTTAATCATAATTAACCTGCATGGTTATAGCTGATTTGCATGGACCCGAAAAGGTTATTGGCTTGAGAAGATAATTTTTATTGTTTGGCACCGTAAATATTGCTCCTGAGGATGAGCAAGCTTCTTTCCAAGCCTTTTCAAATGCCTGAAATTAAAACATTAAAATTCAAAAATTATTATACAATTCATTTAAATTTGAAAATTAGTATACACTACAAGTATGTGACTATTAATTCTAGACATAAAATATGTTTGATTGTTTTATTTTTTTTAGCCTCGGACGGATATGTATGTGCATACTTAATTCTAAGTATTTTTTACTCATGGAAAAAAGTACAAGTCCTAGTATACAAGTAATATTATTTTTGTAACTTTGTAGAAAATTAAAATCCAAGGTAAGGTAGTTCCTTATTATTTGGTAAAAGTAGAATAACTAAAAATAATTGGTCGTATGCTAACTAATTTTAACAGAATTTTTTTTTATTTCACATGATAATATTGTTGCATAAACTAACATTGTTGACGTTCCAAAATGATGGGACCATACCAAAATTTGTAACTAAAACAAAAAATAAAACATAAAACAAAATATAAACCGTTAAAAGATTAAGGTAGTTACATATAAATGGAAGTTGGATTCAAGGAGTATATAGAGTTACACGACAAATATTGTAGCAAGGTGAACAAGCTACCTCTATTTATTGCCAATTTAACTCGTAAAATATAAAAAATATTTTGTTATTCACATTTTTTTTTTCATTCTGAATAATAGTTTTGAAGGGAAATTTTTTCAAAAAACCTACATGATTTTCTAGTTTGAGATCATGTTTTAAATTTAATTTGTCAATTATTGTGATACAATAATAAAAAAAGATAGATTTATAGTAATTATTTTTTTTTTGAAACAATTTATAGTAATTATTTTGATAAGCTAGCTTAGTCATGTTTAAAGTTTTTTTTTTTAAATAAAAAAAATAAAAAATAAGTTTAAACTCAAGTACGACGTGCACGAATTTACTAGAGAGACATGCATGAATTGAATTGTAACATATAGATATATAAGTAATTAAATAATTAATTTAATTATATTGCATGCATCAATTAAGAATTGAACATGCATGCATTCATGCTATATAAGTATTGTAAGCTACCTGAGTATCATCAGCTTTTCCATCTCCCTTAGCTCCATAATCAGCAACATTAAATGTTTTCGTAGCTTTTCGAAGAGCTCTTCGAACATTATCGACATGCCCTCCACTGTGTTTTTGTTGAACAATTTTATTGTCCGCGTAGTAAGAATGATTTAATCCTTGTTTCGTATCAAAAAATTGTATGTATCTTCCATAACATGAAGAAGAAGAGAGGTATACAACAATAATAATGAGAAGAGGGAAAATGTGGTGCAATTGTAGGGCCATTTTGAATAAGAATAGGTATAGAAAATAAGTGTATGATGTTAAAGGGTGTTTATTAAACACAAGACTTTGGTATAAAAATAATAATATGGTATGATGTAAATGATAGAAATGATTAGCATATTTATAGACTTCAAAAAATAGGAATTATGAAGAATTGAAAATTGATCCCATAACTTTTATGCATGTAGATAAGGCAAAATGAAGTAGCGCAAATGTAGACGAAATCAATTCTGTTAGTTTAGTTGCCCATTTTTTGACTTTATTGTGCAAAGTTTGCTACATATTTTATTTTTGTTGTATTTTGATTGGACTAAATAAGATTATAAAATTAGTCAAATAGCGGCCTAAATATTAAGAATAACGGAGTATGTGATTAGATAAATTCCTATGAATAACAATTTTCCTCAAAACTTCACTTTTATAATTTTTTGAATATTTATAGAATGGTTAATTGGTTATTAGATATCTTGGTTGGTAATACGTTTTGGTTAACATTTTGGGCAGCATGCATCGTTAAATAGAACATTAATGTGAATTAAGGGTCTGTTCTCTTCAAATTATTTTCAGTTCATTCCAGTTCCAATAAGTTCAATTCAGTTCAATTCGATTCGGTTCTTAATTTCCTTCTCTTATAAAATATCCAGTTCAGTTCAGTTCAGTTCAGCCCAGTTTAGTTCAATTCAGTCAATCAAAATAGGCCCTAAGTTATTAATGTTATCGACCAAGCTAAGCCTATACTTGAGAGTTTTGTAATTAATTCCACTTTGAAGGAGGGGCGGATGAGATTCGAACCCGTGACCTTTGTGTCACGCTGACTCCGATACCATGTTAGAGGACCAATTCAACCAAAAGCTTAATCTGATGGTTGAGGCCCAGGAATATGTTTTATACTCTATCAAGAAATTAGATTGGTCAAGCACCAAGCTACATAATAGTTTTCTTGACATGAAATTTATTAATAAGGGTACTCATTAATTCACAAGCTAGTAGCTAACATATGATATATACTAGGCAAAGAGAGGAATAGTATCTTGAAATTCTACTTAGCATGGCTAACTTGGCAGTTAGCTAGCTTTTGATGTTTAATTTGTATAGACTAGAGTAACGACTCAAAAAAGGATTCTTAAAATTGATAATCAATAACTGCTAAAGGCGGGTAACGAGTCATAAGATCACCTGAAACAGGAGAAAAGCTTTCCAACATAGCTATATGTCACTCTATTCAACATTTGTAATTGTGTACTACTTGTATTTAACTTTATTTAAGTTAAAATCTTTAAACAATGCTTAAACAAAATCAATACACATACAAGCTTAATACGGAATGTAATTTTTCTTTATTACATTTATTATAAAATTTAATACGCTTTTATCCTCTAATATATCTTACATAAAAATGACCACATGTAATCTACATTAAAACAATGCAAACTGGATCTCTCAGTATCTTTTTTAAATTTTAAAAACTTTTAAATAAATAAATAAATTAGGTGTTTAATAAATACTTACTCCGTTTCTATTTAGTTGACACGTTTGATTTAGGCATATATATTAAGGAGAGGAGAGAGAGTGAGAGAAAATGAAAAAACAAGTGGGGTACCTTGTAAATGTAAGGTAAAAAATTTACCCTAAAAGGAAACATGTCAACTAAAAAAAAATTCCTAAAAAGGAATACGTGTCAACTAAAAAGAAACAGATGTAGTATTGTATAATGCATTTTATCGATAGTGGGGCTTGTCCCTCTCTTGCACCAAAAAAAAAAAAAAAAAAAATAATAATAATAATAATTCTTATACTATTAAAATCTATCTCATGGCCTGGCCTTTTACATTGAAATCATATTAGGATTATTACAAGTTACTCTCAGAACAGGATAAAAGGTTACCCAGGCCACATTTAAAAGTTGCTCTAACTCTCTAAGCTAATATTGTTTGATTACATTAGTATTATCATGCACACTCAGTTTTTGTTCAAAATTTGTGTGCAAATAGTTTTCACAAAGAACATGTAGATTTAGAGATATTGTGCAACTCACTTTTTTGGTTGACTAATTTAAGGGCTTGTTTCGATTGACTGAACTGAGCTGATCTAAACTGAAGTGAATATTTTATGAGAGAAAGAAATTAAGAATTGAACTGAAAATAATCTGAAGAGAACAAACCTTAATACATTAATATTTAGGTCAAATAAACAGTCGTGGAGTATCTACACAAGTCCCCCCTCTATCCCTAATTTTTTTTTGCCACATTGAACTTTGCACGGTCTCCCAAATACGTCTTGCAATGTATATAGCTTTAATTATGTAATTAAATATATAATGAGACGAATCTAACAAGACCTCACATGACTATATTATCTCTTATAAATTAATGAGAATTTATAGTCAAAGTATTTGAAATTTGACTCAATTATTTGCAATATGCCTATCCCAATTTTCAAACTTTAAATATGTTCTAATTAAATCATTTACCAATTATCATTCATTCTTACGTAGTATATACTTATGCAATACTTATATATCATTCATTAATTGTTACTCCGTAGTTGATTGTAATATTGGTATGCATATAGTACCACAGATCCGATCGAGATTTCAAGACTTCTTTTAATGTTCAAGATGATGTGGCATAATTAGAGTAACACGAAGTATAATGCAATATTACGTAGTTTTGATGACCTACAAATTAATTGGTCAGCCAAAGTGTTTTATACGGTATAAACATGGTCCATTAGAAAAACTATCACTCGTTAGTATGTAATTATGTCAAAAAATAATTATCATTTCGACTAATTTAGGTGTTACAGCATCCATATAAATCGTACTTTACTATCATTGTCATTTGTGTATTGTGATAGACCATAATTATATTGGCATAGATTCTCTATTTTAATTAAATCTTGCAACATGAGGCCTCTATTGGATGGACAAATAAATTAATATCATTAGGCTCCTATATATATCTTCTAACCTATGAAGAATAGAATTAGGGCATGTTCTCTTCAACTTAATTTCAATTCAGTTCAGTTCCAATCAGTTTAGTTTAGTTCAGTTCCTAATTTCCTTCTCTCATAAAATATTCAGTTCAGTTCCAATCAATTCAGTTCAGTTTAGTTCAGTAACTCAAAATAGCACGAATAGAAAAATGTACCAAAGTAAGTTTTGACATAAACATAGAGATTGTATATGTGCACAATCTAATTAATTAACCTTGTAACAATATTATTTCTTAAATATATGGTGAGGTCAAGCCTAAGGCTCCTATCATAGGAAAGAAACCTTGTTAGCAAGGGGTAAGGATAGGAGATTTGTCATTGATCACAATTGAACTTCGCTTTTTGTCATTGATGAGAATCAAACCTCGAACCTCAAGGATGCAAGGCGACCTTCTGTGCCACTACACCAGAATATCTCTCACCCTTGTAACGATCATTCACCATCATATAAACCCATCACTATTAAAGTTAAGTTTAAAATTGTGATTTGTGACAATAAGGTGAATGTCATATTTCATTACCTCAATACCTGAAATTTTTAGGGTGTCCTATCCAAGCCACTATACGTTAAAGTATATCACGACTTCACAAGTGCGATAGGCCCACACTCTTTTGTTGCCCATTTTCTCATTCGAAACTTTCTCAAATCACAAATTCTTATAGATGGTTAGCCACACCATATGACCAACTATCATGGGGGTTACTTCATTAGTGTTATGGGGGTTACTTTATTAGTGTTACATGGGTTACTTCGTTAGTGTTAAGTTAAAGGGTTACCAGATCAATATTACAAGAGTAACCTGGTCAATATTACAAGGGTTACTCGATCAGTGTTATAGGGATTATTTCGTTAGTTTACAAGCGGGATAGTTACATCCAGGTGTGCATGCCAGCAATTGCATTCAGGTGTACAATGAAAACCGTCCACAAACGGCAACTTGTTACTTAATGTTTGTATTTGGCCTATTTGCTGAATGTTTTTATGCCATATCCACATTAAAAAGCACTTTTAGGCGTGTGAGATTGGAAACCTCCCCTTTAAACTTAATTTTCTAACGTCACACCGAAAACTTCCTTGTTACATTTTTAAGGGACGAAGGATCCAGAATGAATTCCAAAGGTATGGGCTGTTGAGTGCAGCCTTTTTTTACTCAATCTCTCTCATTGTTTTTTTCTCAAGTCTTAATATACATCATCATTAATTTTATGACAAAAATACCAATATATATAGTCAAACATATAATCATGGAATGAAAAACTTACAAGGGTTGAGTATCTAACAACAAGTCAACAAGCTATTACTATAATATGATTATGATTATGATTATGATAAGGAATAATTAATTAGTGATGTGGAGACTTAAGTATGGGTTACTTAAACCCCATACCTTAATGAAGTATTGATTGTATGTTGTGTGACTTCAAAACTAATGTTTAGCAATAATATGTGTTAGTTTTCATAGACACGTGGCGTTTTAAATTGTAATTAATTATAGTAGTATACGTTTTATGTGCACGTTTGTATTGATAGTATGGGTGATTGGGTGTGGGAGTATGTGTGATTAGGTTTTTTTTTTTTGTTGAAGAGATTATACATTTGGTTAGTGAAATGTCCATTATTTTATCATATTGAAGTGACAAACAATAACAAAAGGAGTAAATTTAAAGGTGTTGGTGGTTGTTTTCTCTTGTAAGTTTGAAGATTTAGTTGATATACTAGGTAGATACTAGATAGAGGTAACGTTAATATGTTTTTAAGTGATGGGAAATGTTTGAAATACAAGTGCAATACAACTAAGGATGGGAGCTTATTAATTGGGATAGTTAGCCTACTCTTTTTCCTAATTGAGATTTTTTATTATCTTAATTTTTTAACAAGAAATTACAGTTGAATTATATCACTTAATTAGACTAGGGATGTTCAAAAGTTGGTCTGGACTAGATAAATGGAACGACTAAGATAGTCAAGTTGATGATCTTCGTTTGATAAAAAATAATATTTTGGTCTCTAATCCAACACAATACAAAACCCTTTGAAACTGATTTTTAATTTAAAATATGATTGGTTTTCATCTTTAAAATGTTACAAATCAATACAAAACTATTATGTAC